TAGAAGACGATACCAGCGCGAGGACCTCGAACACCTGAAATGGCAACGAAGCCGATCAAGCCAGCGGCCACAGTGAAGGCAATACCAGCGATCAGGCGAATGAGAACGAACATGTTCGCTGCTGCAAAAGCCATCGAAATGAGGTAGTACGGGCCACCACATGCAATCCAGGTACCAATTACACCGGAAAGCAGCAGAGCGATCATCAGCGCCATAGTTGCACTGTCCTGTTCATAATCAGTCATGGCAGCAGACAGATAGAGCCCACGGCCAATCAAGGTAAGCAAGACAATATCAATCAGAGCTGGAATAGCGAAGACACTCAAGAATGTGAATTGCTGGTATGCAGGCATAACCTTAGGCTTATCATCGGGGTTGACATCAATCTGAGCTCCGGCGTAGGATGTAGCGAGCTCCGGAGCACCGTTAATCCAGTTTGGTGGCTGATGGTCTCCATAGTAAGCTCTGAACCGGTCGGATAGCAACTTCCCGAAAACGCTGGGAGATACGTCGAAGTATGCTTCACATCGCGATCCAAGGGCAAATGACTCTGCGAAGGCGGCGGCCTGATCGGTATGGCTGTTGAATAGGGGATTCCGATCAGTCACTTCTGTGTAAATCTCATCGAAGGCTCCCTGTCTTGCGGCACTAAAAAGCGCAAGAGCCATCATATCCACGTATGCGTCAACGGAGCCACCTTGAAGAAGCGAGCAGAGACCATTGGTAATGGCGGCAAGGTCATCCTCACGGCGGTACCGCAAAACATCGGAGAGCACACTGTCGGCCTGATGGAAAAGATCAAGACAGACATCGAGAGATGGGTATGTGCATCCTTGATCCAGGTACCAGTTGATACGCGACCTGATCAAATCATCAGGAGGGGTAGATTTGCTGAGATACCCAACCGTGTTCAGTGCTTTCAACTGAGCAAAAGAAGGAGCATCTACCAGTTGCTTGCGAATGTATGCGCAGATGGCTACAGATAGCTCGCTGTGAGAATCGGTCAGAGAGAGGTGCTGCAAGAGAAGTAGGCGCTCTTCAGGGCTGAGAACATCGATATCTTGTATCAGTCGACGGGGAAGGCCAGTATCGCGAGACACGTCCTGGGACCAGGTTGCGAAGGTCGCCTCAGCCTCGAGGCAAACATGCCGAGGGAATCCCTTTGCCGAGAGGAAGGTGTGAAGAATAGTTCCAGCCAGGCCTTGCGCATTTTTGGACACATAAATCTCGATACCATCATGATCCATATCGAAAACGGCCCAAAATCGGACATCGGAGCTCTTGCGCAGACCAGAATCTAGACAGAGATTCACGTGCAACTGATCATTGGATGCCCAGTTCGAAAGTTCCTTGATGGTGTTGGCCAAATGTTCTCCATCCTCAGAGAGATCCAGAGAGTCATAGAATTTACTCAAAAGGACTCCAATACTTTGGATTTTGGGTTTCGGGACGGGATGAAGAAGACTGAGAGACTTGAGACGTTGTTGAGATTGGACGATTTCTGCAAAGGCCAGTGGGGTCGCGTCTGAACCGAGAGGGAAGCAACCGAGCGAGTTGTAGGCCAGCCCTGACATGGAGATAGAGAGAGGACTGCCCTGCGACTTGACCTGTGCAACCCATTCAGGAGGATCACGCAGGCGACCAGTCGGGCTATCGGGGGCCTTGGAGTCGTATTCCGATGACTTCAGTAGCGCATCAATGGCAGGGAAAAGTGGCTTGAGAATATCCCAGCCAGGCTTGTTATCCGGGGAAGGCATTATGTTCAGGTTGCCACGCCAGGTATCATGAGCTTTCATCATTTCTGCTTCCTTCAACCAACCGAACGCGGGAAGAGGTTCGAGAGTCGCGACGTTAAGATCCGCATTGTGAAGAGCAGCTTCGGTGCCGATCCAGGTAATTGCACTGTAAAAACCGCACCATTGGATAGACCTGCGCACTATGGCATTAGGAATAATGACATTATCGTCGATGGTTTCCCAGGACATCACGACAAAGTCTCTCATGCAAGATTCAGAAACGAAAGCCTTGAGTGTTGGTTGGAGTGCGACCATTTGGAAATAATCCCGCTTTTCGCCTTCAGGCATGATGCTAGCGTTTCGAATGACCAAACCCGCCACGGCACTGCTCTGAACGGCCTTTCGGTCTTTCAAGAAATGCGGTGGCTCAGTTTCGAGATAGACTGCCAGGCCGAGACCGCTGATGGCCTCGAGGAGCTTTCTGCGAGCGGTAGGACGGAGCACATCTTCCCAATTTGCGAGGAGAACACCGGAAAACGCGGTATCATGGAATCCGCTTGTGAGCAGTTCCTCGATCTTTTCGATGACGGCCAAGGCTGATGGATTTGGAGGAAGGATTTTCCCGAAATCAATACGTCCGAGTACCCGGCTGCGCTCGTGTCTGGAAATAGCTCTGGCGACACCTGACTGGAATGGATCCACAACCAAGACATCCCATTCTTGCAAAAGTCTTTCTTGCGAGACGGTAGGTGGGTTTTCGAAGCTTCCTAGGTATACTCCGAAGCTCGTGGGCTTGCCCGCGCACGGACGTCTCTCGATCAAGTTGAGTTCTCGGTTGGCTAGCTGGGCGATACGGTTGGATACACTCGCAGGGAAGGTGTCTGGTAGCGGTCTCGACTAAATAGACTGGAATTAGTATATAGAGCAGAGGGGAGGAGCTTGTCGGTGTTCATACCTTATAGTATTTGATAAATCTCCTTCCTCCGGAATATACAATTGAGGCAGAGCCAATGGCGACTGTACATATCAACACTCCAATGTACATCTAAGGGAGATGGTCAGCATATCTTTCTTTGTTTCTCAACGAGAGCGCCAAAGGTCAAGTTGTAAAGAGGACCAGGATCAACATACGAATTGCCACCAATGTTCTTTCATGCCATTCCAGCCAAGAGGATCTGGCTTGAATGGAAGATATTCTACCATGACGTCGGGAGGTTGAGTCCTCGACTCGATGTGTCTTTGAGCGCAATATAAGAGGCACGAGGTTAGAATAACCGGCCAAGTGGAGATGCGACTTCAAATGCAAATGCTTATAATGACATGCTTAAACGAGTGACTGCTGTGTTCAGCGAAAAGCCAAGATGTCGATGTCAAGAAAAGAGAGCACCGGGGAGCTCAAGTGTCGACAAGGTGATAAGGTAAAAGATTAGTGGGGGAAGAATGGCTAAAGTGAATATCCACTTCTCCAAGCCGCATCAGTCAAATACAACAAGACAATTTTGCCTCCCAGGATTTCCCTTGTTCAATTGTCAGGGGCAGGAAAAACGGAAAGAAAATTAAAAGAAAAAATGTGTATACGGGGTAGCTTCGCCTCTTTTGGACCGTTTAGGATAGAAAACAAGTGTCTAGGCGGTTAGTGAGGTAGAGATCTCTGAAAGGCAAAAATAGCACACACTAAAGTTTTCGAACGCAAAAGAATAAGCTAACAGATGCACGGCTGGCTGACCGATGGAACAGACCCGGTGGAGCCAGCGTAGTATGGATAGCAGATATGTTGCCATGTGTGCCAAAGCCATGCGACTCATATCGTGGCAATTATACTACCCGATGGGCCTTGGCTGTTTCTCCCACTGTGTTCCAAGGGTCTAATTGAACATATCATATCAAGAATGAATATGTCGTGTTTCCCTCGAGATGTATCGGATTTCGCCTAGTTAGTTTGTAGGGCAGTTATGCACGGGCTAGAGCATCATATCATTTCAGCGAACAAAACTCGATGTCTTGGCAAAGGATTATAATTAAAATAATTAACTCAAAGACGGAAAAGAAAATAAATAGAAAAGATTAGAATGCAAAAAGAAAAGGAAAAGAAGAAAAGAAAAAAGAAATACAGGAAAAAGAACTTGAAACCCGAAATCGGACAATCCATACGGTGTATGAACCGGTAAATGAAAATTACCCCGTATCTGCAAGAAACCACGTAATTACAAGTATCCGAGTAGCCCGAAATACCGTATACGCCATACACACGCTGTACCCCGTATTCAGCTCAGACATGCAGTGCCTTGTTCTTCCCCTTCCCCACATCAAGTTCTGGACTTGACCAGTCTGTTCCCCTGAAGGTAAGGTTCGTTCCTCGGGAATAATGCAATGTGTTGTCGGATCTTTTAGCCCTGCTATGGAGTTCTTCATGTCTCGCTTACCTTCAATCTGCCTAGCCTTGCTTTTGTCTTTTCTTATTATTATTTTTAGCCCAAAGTCGAAACAAGAAGCGAAAACGAGAAGAGATTTCTCCATGTCTCAACCAATCCCCAATAGATTCCATTCCTGAACCGATCTCAGGCCCCCCGGAAAAGATTAAACCTATCAACGCCAGATGGAGACTCGTATAAACTGGATTTGCCTTGAGATCCATGCGAGATTACTCCGTAGCTCCGGGATTAACTAGGCACAATTGGCGATAGGCCTTGGATTGAACCTCCCGTTTTACTCCACAAACAATATACTATAAGAGCTGATGATCATGCACATGTGGGTAAAGAGCTGCAAGCTAATTCATTCGTTCATTATCTTCCGTATTCTATTTTCATTTTCTCAGCTGTCAGTTGTTAATTGCAGACCTGCATACTGTGTGACCTTCCCCATCTAGAAATAGGTCAGGATCGTCATGGTTGCCGTGCCAGTCTGGGCCTTGAAGGTCGCATGCTACTACGCATTTATAACATGCGACACTGCCCCCGGTGTTTGGCCTGAGAACACCCCGACTGTCATTGCCTATCATCCTCCGGTCTCGACTCCTTCTAGTACTTCTAGCAGTACTGCTGAAGTGAGCTCCACTGCGGTCGCTACTTCTACACTCTCGTTCACTTCCTCTGCCTCTGTCCCGGCTCTGTCCTCTATCGTTACTGGCAGTTTGCCCACAGTTGCACCGACCACCACTGCAGCCTCCACCTTCGTTACTTTCACCACTTCGAGCTCAATCGTCGACTCTGCTTCGGCATCAGTCACTGTCACTGTCCCCTCCGGTTCTTCCAGCGTCCTGACTCAGAGTGGGTCGTCGTCTGTTTCATCGGCCTCTTCCAGCTCTGCTGTTTCGTCTGCCTCAACCGTTGTTGCCAGCAGCTCGGCTTCTTCTTCTCCTGTTTCTAGTGCTACTTCAAGTGCTAGTTCTTCGTCAATCGTTTCACCGTCTGAAAGTTCTTCAGTCAGCTCGCCCGCCTCGTCTACTGTTCCCAGCAGCCCGGCTTCTTCATCGCTTGTCTCAAGTGTCACTTCTTCATCGGTAGTTTCATCTTCCGCAAGCTCTTCGGTCAGCTCTACCTCGACCGCTGTTCCTAGCAGCTCGGCTTCCTCGTCAGCTGCTTCAAGTGCTGCTTCTTCGCCAGCAGTTTCGTCTCCTGGAAGCTCTTCCATCAGCTCAGCCTCAACCGCTATTCCTAGCAGCTCAGCTTCTTCGTCACCTGCTTCAAGTGCTACTTCTTCCTCGGTGATTACGCCTTCCGGAAGCTCTTCCGTTAGCTCAGTCGTTGTTCCCAGCAGCTCAGCTTCTTCGTCACCTGCTTCAAGTGCTACTTCTTCCTCGGTGATTTCGCCTTCCGGAAGCTCTTCCGTTAGTTCAATCGCTGTTCCAAGCACCTCGGCTTCGTCTGCTTCGAGTGTTGCTTCTTCGTCGGCAGTTTCATCTCCTGGAAGCTCTTCCATCAGCTCAGCCTCAACCGCTGTTTCTAGTAGCTTGGCTTCTTCGTCAGCCGTCTCAAGTGCTACTTCTTCGTCAGTTGTTTCGTCTGCATCTGTTTCCACAAGTGCTTCTTTGACTACCCCAATCATGTCGTCTACCCTCATCTCAATCTCGGCTTCTGCAACCGCAAGTGCCACTCCGCTTAGCCATGCTGCCGTTGCAGCTGAAATTCTGATTATTGCCAGAGATGCTGCCTCTGCTGGTGTGGCCAGCTCTGGTCTCAATGGATACGGTATCCCATTCTCCACTCTGATTGTTCCCTCTGCTGGTGTCGAACTTCCCGAACTCAATGGTACCGCCGGAGGAAACTTCGGTGGTATTGTCGTTGCCTCTGAAGTCAGCTATGACTATGGTACCCTGGGCTTCCAGAGTGCCCTGACCACCGATCAGTGGAACCAGCTATATGCTTACCAGCTTGAATATGGTGTCCGTATGGTCCAATACGATGTCTACCCGGGTCCCAACTATGGCGCATCTGCTATCGGCGGATGCTGTGACGGCGTTGAACAACTTATCTCCCTCACTGATACTAGTGAATTCCCCACATCTGGTCTGAAGACTGGCGCAGGTATCAGCACCACTGGTCTATGGCACTACCCTGCGACTATCAGCAACACCACCTCGACCAAGCAGTTTGCCGCGTTTGCCCCCACCACAGGCTTCGAGACTGAGAGTGTCGCCGGTGTGATCAACGACTTCGATGGCCGTCAGCAGATGGCCTTCTTCATTGGTTTCGACACTACCTGGAGTTCTACATCCAGCTACCTGCAGCACGCATGGATCACCTGGATTACCCGCGGTCTGCACGCCGGATACCGTCGTGTCAACCTGAATACCCAGATTGATGACATGTTCCTCGAGACTGATATTTACTCGCCCGCTGGTACCACCTTCCGTATTCGCGCCGAGGATTTGACCAACATTGCCTCCTGGATTGATACCATCAATGCCAAGTTGCCCGCTGGCAGTTCTTACTTTGTTGAAGTCGGCCACAACGGTAACGGAAACATCGAGAACGCTTCCGATACCTCGGATGCTGGCTGGGATACTTGCGGAGCTGCCATCGAGTATGATTCGCCTTTGGACACTCCCCTCGAGTGGATCAAGCCTCTTGGAACTGGCACTGATCTGTGGCCCGCCACCCCTACTGCTTACGACTGGGAAGCTACTTGCACTGTCATGGATGAGCTCCTGGCATGGTGGACCACCGAAAGCAACCTCAACAAGTTCGGCCACATCTCCCACACTTTCACTCACGAGGAGCAGGACAATGCCACCTACAGCGATATCTACAAGGAGATCAGCTTCAACCAGGCTTGGCTCAAGCAGGTCGGTATCGACAAGGCCACCAAGTTCACTTCCAACGGAATCATTCCCCCTGCCATCACTGGTCTGCACAATGGCGATGCCCTTCAGGCCTGGTGGGATAACGGCATTGTTAACTGTGTTGGTGACAACACCCGCTCTGCCCTTCTGAACCAGGAGAACGACATGTGGCCTCTTTTCACAACCGTTGCCAACAACGGTTTCGATGGTATGCAGGTCAACCCTCGTTGGGCCTCTCGCATCTACTACAACTGCGACACTCCTGACTGCACCGTCGCGGAATGGATTGCCACCTCTGCTGGTGTTGGTGGCTTCCAGGACCTCCTGGACATCGAGAAGGCCGAGACTATGCGTCACTTCTTCGGTCTCTTCCACGATCCTTACATGTTCCACCAGGCCAATCTCCGCAACGCTGATGTTGACCCCATCACCATCAACGGTGTTGCTGAGAAGTACTCCATTATGCAGGCTTGGGTTGAGACCCAGGTCCAGGAGTTCATCCGCCTGGCTGAATGGCCCGTCGTCACCCTCACCCACCAGGAGGTAAGATAAATCCTATCCAATACGCTACAATTCGTTTCATGTGCTAACCTTCATAGATGTCTGCTGCCTTCCTTGCCCGTTTCAACCGTGACAAGTGCGGCTACTCTTTGAGCTACGCCACTAGCAACCAGAAGATCACTGCCGTCACTGTCTCTGCCACTGGCAACACCTGCACTGACCCTATCCCGGTTACTTTCCCTGTTGCTCCTACCAGCACCCTGGGCTTCGCTACCGAGCAGCTCGGTGCTGACCCTCTGACCGTCTGGGTTGAGCTCACTGGCTCCCCCGTTACTTTCACTCTTTCCACCCCCATTTCCTTTTAGGATGTTTCAAAGATGATTGACCAGTCTGCCTTCATTTGACAGGTCGATGCACTTTGCATCTTTTGGCTTTTGTTGATCGTCCATCGCTCTCATTCATCTTGTGGATATCTCTTTAGATGTCAATAATGGTTTTTATATATGTGAAGGAAAAAACAGCCCTTGTCTTTCTGTTGATACGAATATTGAATGTCCTGTATTTTAATAATGCCTGGAAATATCATGTATACTATATGATATACAATGATGCTTTCCGAATGGTCTTCATACTTCAGTAGTGTACAATATAAAATTAGGGCTCAATCTGTGCAGAGTAGTAAACATCATTCTTCGTAAAAAGCAACACAAGCACAAGTCCTCGCATCCTCGGTACTACTCTCCGACATGTCATCTGGCGGTCTGGCGGTGCCATCAATAATTCGCGCTGCAGGTCCGGGGTGACAAAGTCTGCAACGGTTATACGAGCCAAGGGATTTCCTGATCCGACTGATCCGGCGCAAGGCATGGAAAAGACTTCCAGCGCATTTCGCACGGTCATGCACCCCATACCCCAAACCAAGAAAACCCAAAAAATATGATTTCCACGGATGAGACTAAGTCCAAAATCAAATCAATCGATCGTGGCAAAAACAAACATCCATGGACCCCGTTTACTCCATACGGACCAGCCCAAGCACCAGAAAGCACAGTGTAGAAAGCAGGTTTAGAGCCTAACTTGTCTCACAAACCACTCTATCACCCCACCCAACCGAGGACGCCATCCGGGCAATCGATCTGGTGCCAAGTACACTCGGAAAATAAAGATCGTGTCTCAGAAGCCGGAGGGGTCCGGTGGATGTAAACTAGTGTAAACGCAAGTGGCTGCTGTAAATGTCTGAGATATACCGGTACGCACAGAGTATATTCGAAATTCTACCTAGATCGTATTCCTGCGGGGTGAAGGTTGTAGGGTTGGCATGGGGCAATGTGACCCCGTCATCAGGGTCCAGACCTACGCTACAGCGGGGAAGCATAGATGTTGTATTTTGTATACGAGGGGACCAATGCAGCCGTTGCATAGGAACTACTCGATTGGGTAACAAGGAGGCTCAATACTAATTTTGGATCCATGGATGGCACCATTTCGGTGATATCCGCTTGAATACGGAGAAGGTTCCTGGGCATTAAGCCACCCGGTCACGGATTTAATGTGCTTTAGTCCGGGCTCCGTACTTTGGACTTTGTGCTGGGGTCATGTAGTGATCAAGAATAATGTATGAATAATGTATGTTGTATGTCATGTAACCCTCCCTGCTTGGATGAATTTGGGTTTTGGAGCTCATTCTGACTTCTGCTGCTACTGTTGCTTTCGTTCTTTTATTCCTGACTATCCCTAGCAGCGGCCGGTGCCAGGGGCAAATGTTACGATAGATAGAATGCGCTAGAATAAAAATCCCTTAGCGTGTATGTATTCTAAGCGAGAGATATTGACAGAGTCACCATTTGATGACTTGTCAAACAGCGAACACTGGAAACGGTTAAGCGCGATCTTGGCAAGGGCTCGAAATTTCTGTCTCGGGTGCAATATAGAAACGAGACTAACGATCTCGGGACTTCGTATAAAGTCCCGTGGACCTGTTTCGGTTAGCGGGTGTGGCGTCCAGAGATTTGCGCCAAAGAAAAATCAGGCGATCGGGTTACATCTGGACTAGCGCCATCGGTTGTACTTTTTCTCTGGTAGTCTATTTTAGCGTCGAAGGTGGAGAGAGCGGGTCATGGAGGACGATTCAACAAAAAAAAAGTCCAATTCGAAACATCCAACATAGAATAGGCAAACGGGGTAATAGTAACAATAGCATTGCATGATATTATGGGTTACTACCAGTGTTGAATACTCGAGGATAGATGCTTCGTTATTAAACTAGATCTGCACATAAGCGTCATGCAGAGAAGATTTCAAAGCATCAGATGATAGCCCAACAGGTCGGCACTAGGGTTTTTAAAGTGACTGATTATCGCTGTCAGAAGTTTGTCCACTTTAGTTAGGGCTAGCTCGATACATACCGGCATTTAGGGGGATATCTCGGGTTGGTATTTGCAAACCCGTCTTACCTCGGATTGGTAATTACGGGGATAAAATACAACAATACCATTTTCGTGACAAAAAAAACTCAACTCCGATTTCGCGATTCTAGACTTTAACGCTAAGGGGCTTGCCAGCACATGCATCTATCCGCTTGGTTTATTGGCAATGTTCTGGGAACACTGGAAGCGCAGGGACTTTCGGTCTCCCCTCGAATCCTGATGCTGTCCACTTTGTTTAATGTATACAACCTACAACATATATGGAAATAAATAGCCAGCCTTGGCAGACCGAGACTTCCCTTTTTTCCCTTCATCTATTTTAGGCGACAGATCACTCTCTTCATCCATCTTGGCAATTTAAAATTGGTTGCCAACCCCTAACTAAGCTTCCATGGGTTGCCATTATCTCTTCTCGTATACGGTAGTTCACTTATAGTGTACAGTAAGACGATATAGATCGCCTGATCACATGAGCAGATCAGATCAGTAGGTTCCACCGGATCTTTAGTTTTCGCCCCTTGGACTTTTCCAGTGGAGTCCTGACCGCCCTCGCCCTCTATAGCCCTTTAGGCATCCTCGTTTTCCTACCAATTGATCACCACCTCCCTTGCCCGTTCGAGTATTTTCAGGGTCTTCCGTCCATTTTCTGCCGCGATCCAAGGCTGAGCTTTGCTTATAACGTCCAGGTTTTTCCGTACCCTGGGAGATCTCCAACCAGCGCTCTGGGCCCTTGACTTTGAGCTTAAAGATGCCTATCTCCCGAATTAGTGCCTGCTGATCACTTCGTCTCTTCTTTTCCCTCCTTGGCCTTCCCCATACACCTTCATTATATACAACTACCCCGCGATTTTGGGTTATCTCAACCTTATTACACACTAAATTTCTCTCGTTTTATCTCTCATTTATCTCTCAGTTCACAGTCCACCTTAATCGGTGAAATGTCGTCCAAGACGGGCTGGTGGGCTTGGTCCACCAAGAAGAAGGTCCTTATCCTTGGATCTATCGCTCTTGTCATCATTGCTCTAGGTGTCGGTCTAGGTGCCGGACTAGGAGTTGGTCTTCATCATGGCGAAGGCGATGATAATGATAACGACAACGGCGGTTCCGGCACAGGTTCCGGAGGCACCGGTTCCAATACGACAACACCAACAAACACAACCGTGTGGCAGCCAGCTGTTGGCACCAAGTGGCAGATTATACTAAAGGCCGACGATGGCGAACCAGTCACCACCTCAGTGGACGCGCCCATCTACGACATTGATCTGTTCGACAACAACAAAACCGTCATCGCCGCTCTCCAGAAAAAGGGTCGCAAAGTGATCTGCTACTTCTCTGCCGGCTCGTACGAGAACTGGCGTCCTGACGCCAGCGACTTTCTCGCCTCAGATAAGGGCAAGAACCTCGACGGATGGCCCGGCGAGAAATGGCTGAACGTCTCGTCCCCCAACGTGCGCAAAATCATGCAGGCGCGTCTCGATATCGCCGTGACCAAAGGCTGTGACGGTGTCGACCCTGACAACATCGACGGGTACGACAACACCAACGGACTTGATCTCACCGAGGCCCAGGCTATCGACTATGTGAACTGGCTTGCTGCCCAGTCCCACAAGCGCGGTCTCTCCGTTGGGTTGAAGAACGGCGGAGGCATTATCGACTCTGTCATTGATAACATGCAGTGGTGCGTCAATGAGCAGTGTGCTGAGTACGAGGAGTGTGATACCTATGCGGCCTTCATTGAGGCGGACAAGCCTGTCTTCCACATCGAGTACCCCAAGGGCGATAGTACCAACAATAACAAGTCCGTGACAACCAGCCAGGCGAATGCTGCTTGTGATGCCAACAGCGCTGGCAATTTTTCGACTGTTATCAAGAACATGGACTTGGACAATTGGGTTGAATACTGCCCTTGAATATTGGATACTGTTCGTGAATACCGCCTGTTTGAGGCCTTGTGCAGAGTGGGCTCGTCATCTAATTTGGAGTTTGTCATTGCATGTATAAGTACTAGACGTGATACTTTCGGCATCATCATTCATAGCTTCCATCATATTTCAGCGTGTATTAATTGGTCTTGAGAGGTGAAAGAAGTAAATTGGCAACTAGTCACAAAGTACACGCCTGGACACCCAAGAACCCCTGGAACGCACTCGTCATGTCAGCACATATTTCACGAACAGCACCTTCCCTCCGTGTCAAATTCATCACATAAATTCCATCAAGACCACGCCATCGGCTCAAATTGCCTTCGGATCACATCACCCTCAATAGACGGCAATGAAGTGCACCACACGGCACAGCAACTCACAAGCCCAAAGAAGCGAAACCAAAAACGCCATTTTGAGAACACAGCACGCCCATTACAATAGTCCAGCCCAACATGAGCACATAATCGGCATGTTCTACCTATTTAAGCCCGCTAGCCTCAGAACAGTCACCCGACATCCCGAGTTCCCTTCCCGAGGTTTTCCCAAGATAGTACTATGCGCTGTCTCCGTACTCAGCTCCTCCTCACCCACTCTATCCCAGCTCGCACCTGCTCTGGGCACCGGCTCTAAATAATCACCCCATCTCAAAGCAACGACCAGCAGCGCCATCGTCGGCGACTCCTCTTATTTACAGCCACTGCATACCCATAAGCAATAGTCTGCAGTGGCTGTGGCTGTGGCTACTGCGATTAGTGGAATATTATCTCCGGGTCTTCCGTGCGCCCGGGTTATTCATGGCGTGACATGATGGAGAGATTGGGCGAGGTTACTCCGTACTTTACTTTACTCAGGCCTGGCTTTTGTGGCGGATCAGCCATCCGTCAATAGCGGTTATTTTTCTTTTTACTTACAACACGGGGTATCGGACGTTGTTTATGGCGGAAGTGTTGAAATACACGGATACATATACGTCCGACCCGAATAACTAGTATGTGCATGTAGGTAACAGGGACTTGATTCCAGTCCTATTTTTTCCCTGCATCTTATTTCGCCACCGTATGTATAATTAGAGACTAGTAGTTCGTTGTTTCTAGACTCTGGAGCAAACAAGGCAATTAATTACAAATACGCTCTTGTCTAATTGGCCTCATGAAACAAATCGGGCATTTTAGCGCACTGGGCGGGCATGGGATTTCCCAATGGAGACGGACGTTAGATTGGTCTTGGCGGTCTTGGCACATGAATACATCGGAGCGGGTCGAAGCGCTAGATTGCTCTGATTGGTTAGGTTTGAGAGTTCATTCAATATTCAGTTAAGTTCGGGTCGAGCCCCTGGGGAAGTGGATCATCCGGTAATTTTTCGATCGTGTTTGTGTATTGTGGAAATTTTCGAAGTTTCATTACATACATACATACGAGAGTGTTGATATCGTTATTTACGGGTATTTTATGTGTCAACAATCAGCCATCGAGTTTATTTTCCGCCATTGATCTGTTTGAGGCTGTGCTACTTATGGACATATCATAACTCAAAAATCCTAATGGGGGATCCCTTGCATAAGACCCCTGTGGCTGGAACTTAAGTCACACGTAGCGTGCTACTATTTGAGATAGGTACGTTGTACTATTTTTCACAATGTGCTATATTTCATACCAATTGCGAGAAAGAAAGCCGAATAGTCCAGGATCCAGAATCCAAAATCAAGAATCTCCTCCGCAAAGGCGCTTATCTCTAGCATCAACCACATTTTGACTGGGTTCGCATAGAAAAAATTTGCATATCGCACGGCCGATCTCGGTACTTGGTACTCCGTACTCCGTCGGTGAACACGAGGATACTACAGCTCCCCAGTCCCCGACGCTCACTCCCGACGGGAATAACAATATCAATTGGCCAGTAATACGCTCCCTTTCGGCCTGTTTTTTTTTCCCCTCTCCGAAACTGGAACCCGGTCCAACCCGGCCAGAACCCACGTGTAGGTATACTATACCCGCCTACCAATAACGCGCGAACCTTGGAACCTAACCTGTCTCGCGCGTGGTGCAGCAGCAAGAACCAAGGGCGCTAAGATCGGCTACCCGAGTGGCTCGCCCAGATAATAGATCTACCCCTTGTTCCTGAGTGGCTGGGTATTTGTACCTGTGTGTATGGAACTATGTGCACCCTCCACTTGTTTACATTGATGTCTATATTGTACTCCGCTCTGTGCAAATCTCTGCAACGCGACCCAGGGCTGCTATATTAAAACTAACGGGTGGCTTGTGGCTTGGAAGACGCAATGCCTCGATTTGGTAATGGGTTATACTAAGCGAGGATATATATTCAAGAGATGACTGCCTTCGACCCATGGTTGAACCAAACTAGGCATGAATAGCCTCGATTGAAATGCGCGATTTGAATCGGTGGCTTTTGGAAGGACCAAGGCGCGCGCCATGCGAGCTGAACCTCAAACTCGGATGGAGACATGTATGGAGACCTGGATGGATATGCTGGCGCGAACCGTTCGGAATTTATTTGTTCAGATTCGGACCGTGTCCACCCATGCATGTTCGTGTAGCTGATCAAGCCGCAGCCAAACCCACCGTTGTTCATTAGTTTTCCCACTTTTGTGCTGTTAGCGCCCCCAGCGATCGACTAGTTCTAGTGCCAATAATGCAATTTATTCAGATCTAGCTCCTATGGAGTCGAACGGCCATGGAAGACAGGACTGATTGGCTATTTCTCTACAGTTTTAGTCAGTTCTCCCCAGCGGCTACCGGGCGCACCGTAGCCAAGAGAGGGGATCGAAAAAAAAAAAAAAAAACCTCCGAAATACCCGGCCATGCCACGAGCTACGTATGTAGTTAGTGGCTTCCGCCACCGGCGCTCGGGTTCAGGGGTATGGCTGGAGTTTTACAGGTACGGCTGAAGAGCAAGGGTGGGGTGGGCAGGACGGTTTCCCAAAACTGCTTCTCGGACCGAGCTACCAGGGAAGAACCTAGTTTCTCCGGAGGCGGAGATGCACGCAAAATCATCTCTAGGCAGAGGATGAATATTGCTCGTCACTGTGGTATTGTACATTGCGCCGGGGACCGGGGCGGGGGACGGTGGAAAGGTTCATTGAAATTGAAATTGTCAGCCATGTTGTCATTGATGTAACAACATACGACAGCATGGTTCCTGGAACATGACCCCGTTGGTATAGGACAGGTCGGGTTTGGAATTCGGTATAGCCGCAGTTGCACACGTTAAACCTGCAGACGGAGCCCTCTGTACGTTGCTCATGTTCCAACGCAGCGTTGTATCCGGGGACTGAGTTTGCCCTATGTATAGCGATGATCTAACTATGCCAACGGTAAATGCTAATACCCGACGTCTGTTGTCTAGTCTGTCTCACTACTGTTTCAGTCCTTGGTCTCTTTACACCATCTGAGACGATTACGTTGGCTTATATTAATAGCTCAGTTCTGTCTCAAGATGTTCCAGTTGAATATATCCCAAACTTGAGTAAAGCACGATGTCCCTCGTTAATTGAAACGTTGTGTGTTGCAGGGTTATTTTGGGAGTATTTCCGGGCTTGGATGGCATTGGTTGGCCTACAAGACGCCATATGCATGCCTCATCTCATCTCATAGATCGATCGGATGGGCGGTAACTCAGACAATATTCCAAAGAATCGAATGGTCTAAATCGAGATCCAGAAAAGGAAGGCGTTTGCATTTCCTTGTTGTCATGCTGTCATGTTGTAAACGTTGTCAACATTGAAGTTAAATCAAGCCACATCAGGTTGAGCCACGTTTAACCTATACGGAGCACTCTATGCCTCGTATCAAGCTGGCCCTACAACTAGAACCCACTCTCGGATTTTAATATATCCCTATACTCCGTGATCCAACCATACTTTTGCGTTGCCACATGTTTCAATTGACAGGTACTTGATTAGTGGGGTTTAGTTGTATCCATGGTATTGTGGTATTCTACTCTTGGCGAAAGGCCGAAAGGAAAAGAAACAGAAAAATACCACAATACATACTGGTAATGTATTACCCACCTGACTCCACCTTGACCTAAAAAGTATAGCTCAGCTCACTTCAAACAAAGACGGCTTGAAAGGATAGACGGGGAAAGAGAAAACTTTTATTAGATGGACTAAAATGTGGTCTGAAAACCAACTCGTAGAATCATTAAACCAAATGAGTGAAAACATGCTAGCTATCCCCAAAAAATATGTGCACATACTCGCTTGATCCAATTTACATCACCAGTGCACATGAACTAAAGCAAGTAATCCAAAGTAGAAATCCAAATCCTAAGCTGCCATCAGGTCGACGAACTCAGTCCACTTAGACCCAAAGGAGGCATAATAGTTCGTGCTCAGATGGGTGATGTAGATCTCATCCGCGACCTTTCGCACCTGCTTGACCAGACTGCGAAGATCCTTGCCCTCGACCGACTCAGGCACCGAGTGGACGATGGCGCAAAGTTGGGTACGATTGCTGTCCGAGATGCTGCTGAACAGCTTAGCGCCTTGCCGTTCCCGGAACGTGCTGTAGGCGGCTTCGAACACAACGGTTGAATCAGCTGTAGCCAGGTACCGAGAATCCGGGACAGCGCCGGGGTTATGGACAACCTGATAGTTTTCGTTAGCTCAATGGACTTCGCCTATGTATCCCAGATGGGGAACACATGGTGATGCAGGCCGGGGTGGAATATGCGGCGTTGGAATAGAATTCAATAGAGCCATAGTTTGGCTTGTGCATGGCCCGACGGGAGGGAAAACGGAAAAACAGATAAAACAAATAAAGAAACGCGGATATAGGGCGACGATGATGCGAGACAGGGGTGGTATGGTATGGGGCAGTCCATAAGTGTAAAGTAAAAACATTACAGTACTCACAAATTGATCAGGGCCAAGAGCCTTGAGACCCTTAACGAAATCTGTGAGCCCTTGCAGATACGTCAAGGTTTGAGCTTCGTATTGTTGAGGAGTTTCATCGAAGAAGATTCCGCGAACCGCAAGGTTGGGGTCGGAGGAATTAGTCGGCCAGTCCGCATAGGTCTGAATATCCTTGCGAACCTCAGAAGCATTGCGCTTTCCATAGGAGGTATACACATAGCCCAACACCCGCACATTGTCGTACGCAGTGAGTTTGGGGATCTCGCGCGTGTAATTGCCATCCGGGAGAGAGTCAGGGCCGGGACCATTTCCTGGATTGATTACGACGGTAAAGTTGACATCGGGGTGGGCGGATATCCTGTGGCGTTCAGCGACTGTTTTTCTGTATTTTTCCTTTCTTTTCTAATTTGTATATAACGGCGCAGCATAATGTGGCTGGCTACCAGGATAGCAATTTGGGGAGAGAAAAGAAAGGATAAAAAGGGTTTAGAAACATACACATTTTCCAGCGGAGCCCACGCCTCAGGAGCAGGGTATACGTAGAGTGGAACGAACACCTTCGCCTTCGGACCCATGCTATTTTTCTTGTGGAGGGTAGTGACCACAACGGAGGGGACAACGGCGACAATAATCACAATCAGGACCACAATTGCCAAGATGAAACGAGACAACTTCGACTTCAGGCACGTCCGGTTGCTCACGTGTTTCTCAGTAGACATAATGGGGGATTTATAGAGAGAAAGTTGAAAAGAATGAAAGTGGATTCGCGAACAGCGCCGGTTACATATGAACGTGAATTTTTCAGAGCATGGCTGTCTGAAAAAAAAACCAAAATGGAAACAGGTTGATCAACACGACCTAAGGCTTGGACCCTACGGTCGATGGATCTGGGGCGACCAGATGCAGTAAGGTGTCTTGGCCAAGACGTCGAAAAAAGAACCGAAATAGAGCAAAATCGAAAGAAAAGATTTAATAAAGAAAAAGCGCGAAAGAATAAAGAAATACAAGAATAATTCCATTATTATACTAGCTCGAGAAGCCCTGACGTACTGGTACGGAGCACGGAGTAAAGATAGAGGCAGTTAGGGCATGCGAATGATATCCCAAGGTCCAGCCGCATGTCTGGCCCACCAAGGGGCATGCCTGGTTCTGTTCCAGTTCATTGTGCCCCCTCTTGCACTCGCTTTGTGCTTTTTTTTTTTTTTATTTCCGTTTATACTTAGGTCCTTTTCTTTCTTTTTCCTTTTATTTTTGCCGGGGGCCCGTGCTGAATCCTCATTCGTCAAGGAAGATGGCATAATATATGAACTCAAACAGAGGATCCGATCGAGCAACGCAGGTACCTCGCTTGTTTTGTATAAAACCTTGGTGGAGGGCCCACCGAAGAATCGGGATATCTTAGTCTGGTCATATAAAAACATAGATCATTTTCTCTCTTTGTTCGCAGCGATAGCATACCTTCCAAGGTTACCTGGCATTCATCGTCAACTTCCCATCATGATTGCTCCAACATCATTCTCCTCGTCGAGATCCGACAGTCCTCATAGGTCTGATGCAAGCAGTCCTGTGCAGTCTCCCATCGCCCTGGATACACCTGTAACAGAGGCTGGAGACCCATTCGACAATCTCCATGACTTGTTGCGCAGAGTCCCTTTCCAGAGCCACATTCTGGTCACTGGTGGCCTCGGTTTCATTGGTAGTCACACCACGCTTGAGCTGCTCAAGGCAAACTATAACGTCATTGTGATCGACAATCTTAGCAATGCATTCGAGAATGTGTTCGATCGTATCAGCCTCTTGGCCAAGAAGCACCACGAGAGGAATGGAACGAAGATGCCATCTCTGCGGTTGCATGCACACGATTATCGTGACGCCAAAGCTCTTCAGCCGCTGCTTGAGGAGTACCGCCTCCCATCCCGGTGGGGAACTCCCAAGTCAAGAATCGCCGGAGTCATTCACTTCGCAGCCTATAAAGCCGTCGAGGAGAGCATTCGGAAGCCACTGAAGTATTACTCCAACAATGTCAGCGGGCTTGTCGACTTTGCCTCAACACTCGGAGACTTCGGCATCAAGACCTTCATCTTCTCCTCCTCCGCCACCGTATACGGCACCCTCGCCACCTCCGGTCTTCCATTGAAAGAAGAACTGTGTGTTCACAAGGAAGAGGTGTACACAGATCACAAAGGCACACAACAGTCCATCCAGCCTGGATGCACAGGCATCACCAACCCATACGGACGCACAAAATGGATGTGTGAAACCATCCTCGCCGACTTGGCCGCATCAGACCCCGAATGGACCATTGTTGCACTCCGCTACTTCAACCCCGTTGGCTGTGATTCTTCCGGTCTTTTGGGCGAAGACCCAAGACAGGCACCAACAAACCTGCTTCCCGTCGTTGTCAAGGTCATGACCGGCCAGTACGCCGAGCTCTCGATGTTCGGTACAGACTGGGAAACAGAGGATGGCACTGCCGTCCGTGACTTCATCCACGTCAGTGATCTGGCTCGTGGGCATATTGCCGCGCTCAGCTCGGCCAACGAGGGCAAATTGACAGAAAATTTCCGCACGTTCAACCTCGGAACTGGAAAGGGAAATTCCGTCATGGATGTGGTCAGCACCATGGAGTCTGTTATCGAGAAGCCCATTCCTCGCCGTGCCGCGCCTCGTCGCGAAGGTGATGTTGGAGCTTGCGTTGCGGTCGTCGACCGCTCGACGGAAGAGCTCCAATGGAAGACAGAAAAGAGCTTGAAGGACGCCTGCCAGGACATCTGCAACTTCTTGGATGTCAGTGGTCTGTCTTCATAGCGCGTTCCTCAAAACTCCTGGTCCGATATGGTCGTTTTTTTTCTTTTTTTTTTGCTTTTCGCTTGTTCCTAATACCTGCTCACCGAACAATAGCCCTTACGAGGCATGTGTTTCAGTATAATGATTGTCTGTTTTTCTGTTTGTTTAGCATGTGCATAGAGTTGCATGACTCGCCGAGTATTCTCGGTCGGTCTCTGTGATATTTTCCCCCTTGGGTGTACAGAGTCATTTACATACGTCGCTTTGTTGCTATATTCGAATTGACAAAAGTTCCCATTTGCCATTTGATCCTTGAATTGTACAGGTTCTCCGTGAATACTGCTAGTCGAGAACTAATCATTAGTTGTTGACAGGATATGGTGCAAAGATGTGTGATCTCATGTGCCAGTACACTTTACACAACCGGTTTGGACGTCTGGATAGGAGATTTCGGGGTTTGCAGGAGACGGAGGATATTAATTTGCCTCGCATGTAGTCTATACACGGGCTAGATCCTTGTAGCAAGAAATGAAGCTGCCCTACGTCGTTGACCATATTTGTTGATGCATCACGTGACTGATCTCGGTCTTGGCATCAAATATGGCCGCAGTTTTCTGCGACAGCCTTGTCCGCGCGTGTGTTATTGCATCTTCAATGCAATTGGGATTTCTTGTCGCCTAGGACCTTCTATTGAACGTTTCAATACCGTCCTATTCTATTCCCTGTCTTCTCTGATTGATTCGCCACAATGATCTGCAAAAGCTGCCGCACGACAATGCTGTCCCGATTCAACCAGCAGCCAGTGATCCGGACGGCTTCAGCATGTGCGCGCCAGCTGCCTCTGGTTCGCAGCCAATTCCGCTCATACAGCAGTGACAACAACCCACCTGTGGCTGCTCCTCCTTCCCCGTCCGCCCCCAGACAACCCACGGTCGGCGACCTCACAACTCCGTCCGCCATCTCCTCCGCTACCCCCGGCATTTCTCAGCCTCTGAGCACGCCCGAAGGTGTCCACACTGATGTCCACCCCGGAGCTTCCACACATCCCACTTCCGTGCGCCCACCGAGCAGCTGCCCAGCCGGAACCAAACTGAATGGACTCAACTACTTCAAGAACAAGCCGGATGTCTTCGCCAAGGAGGATTCCGAGTACCCAGATTGGCTATGGAACCTCTTGGGAGATTCCAGCAAGGAAAAGACTAAGCAGGGTGGTGTTGACCCAAGCAGTAAGATACCTCCTAGAAATCCCGTTTGCCTATGATGCTTACCCCGTCGCAGCCTTGAACAAGAAACAACGAAAGCGTTACGACAAGAAGCTGGCCGCTCGTACTGGCCCCCTCGCTGCTAAGATCCCCGCCCACCACAACGCTCACGATATCACCCCCGCACCCTACAACCGCGACGCACCTTCAGCGGATGCCATGGCCGATGCCACCGAGGGCTTTGAGCGGCGTTCGGAAATTATCAGGAGTGCCCGCGACGCCAGACGGAAGGCCATCAAGGAGTCCAACTTTCTGCGCGGTCTTTGAGCTGTTTTGTATCAGTTCGAGTGGAAGGGATTTACTCTGCTTGTTGGGGTTGTGTCGCAGGCGCTCAGAACCACCTCGATTTTGCATTGGATATTGGATAGCCTGGACTTTTCGGAGCACCCGGGATGTATTATTACATTGATTTCTTTTTCGATTGTGCTATATATCAATGATATTGTCTCAGATTAAGTTCGCCTCGGAGTACCCCGAACAGCCACCTCTGTCTCAGAAAGTCGAGATACATAATCTATTGGGAAACCGGCCACTCCTTCTCCTCCCCTTGCCCTTCAAGCCAGGGGAGACAAGCTTCATAAAATGCTTTCAACTCCCCATCCCCAAGAGCAAGAATCTTCTCAAAGGTACCCTGGTCAAAGCGCTCATAGAAACCCAAAAGTGAAGCGAGAATAATATCCGCATAGCCAGCCTTCTCACCCTCCAAAAACGGCCCCTTCTTCCCCTCCTTACCCTTCAGCATCTTAACCAGTGTTCCCATCTCCTTCTCGATAAGCTGCCATAGCGCAAGCAACTCCGCCTCACCCGTCGGCCTGACCTCAGAAAGCGGCTTCCCGAACGCCGCGGAGCGCGTCCGGATAAAGTACTCCCGTCCACGCTCATCCAGTCCAGATGGAACTCTGGGAACGATCAGCGACTTGGTACTCGGTGCGATCAGCTCCACGATCTTGTCCACGGCGACCACGAGCGAGTAACTTGCGTCGCCGGAGGGGAAGAGCGGGGGCGACGGGTACAGCTTGTCGGTGTACAGGGCGATCGCCTCGGATTCCATTAGCACGCCGTCTTCGTTGCTGGTAATTGATCCCTTGTGGCTGATTGCCGGTAGTGTGTAGGGTGTCGTTGACTTGGCGGGTGGGACGCCATGCGCCTTGAGTAAAGGTGCGATATCCGGGTATGAGACCCAGCTTTGGGTGTAGGGGATACCCTTGAAGTTAAGGACCATTCTGGTCCGGAGAGTTCTGGGAGACCATGACTTGGAAGTGCCTGGTTAGATTAGTTATTTGTCTGTCTGCAGTGAGTCATCGTCTGGTCCGTACCCGGTAGGTCTGATAGGAGATCGAAGAAATGGATTTTGGATTCAGTCATTGTGTAATTGTAGATTTTGTATCTGGTTTAGAGTTGAAGTCGTGCTTTAAGGTTGAAGTCGAGTTGTTGAGTTGTTGAGCTGTTGAGTATACATGTAGTTCTATTTATACAGCCCTGGAGACGTCGGGGCGGGGGTTTGATTTATCAGCTGAAATTCTTTGGAAGCACAGAAAAGAATAGAAGCTGATCAAGAGGCTTTCCTTTCGTTAATACGCTGTGAGTATACTTTCATCGAGGCTAAGCTGCGAGAATGAAGGTAGTGTTGAATAAATTCATATTTCATATCCAACTAATAGATACATCAAGTAATTCGAATACCACAGCCAAAAGTCTCACTTCATATCCACGATATAGAGAGCGCCACGTTGGCGGGGAGCTGGAGCGCACGGGTCACATGGGGATTTTCTCCCGACATCAACGGTATGTTGTCTCTAACACGACGTAGTTCATAAATCCAATTCTCCATAGAAATCCACAAGTACTCCAGCTAAGCGGGGCAACCTTTGCCAACAAGCCCGCCCCTCCAGTCACTACCCAACATCCATAAGGTTGCATCTCCTATACAACATACGACATACTCCCTGCTGGAAAAGAAAGCTCACTGACAATATACCAGTGAAAGATGGAGCATGTCGAAGTTCTCGTGGATCGTGCTAAACAGCTAGTACTCCACGAGCCACCCAGGGCACAAACACACACACACACCGTGGACAAATTCCACCCATCTTTGGACGATCATATCCAGGAGATCTACAAGTCTGTCAATGCATATGCTCCGACTACAGACTATTTCCTCAAGGAAATGCAGCATGACAATACCGTCGCAGATTCTCCTGAGCCCGTCACCGATGCTTTGGCTTCGCTGGATGCATTTCGTGAGTACATGAAAGGTGTGAACGCGTCTGCGATGGGACCAGAAGAAGCCCTGGATCTTTCCGCGCCTCTTTCGGATTACTTTATCTCGTCAAGCCACAACACTTATTTGACGGGTAATCAGCTGTACAGCGACGCTGCTGCTAGTGCCTATACATCTGTGAGTTGATGGTTGCAGAATAGTCATACCATTTTGATCCATGGATGTTATGATCTCCAGGACCTGGAATTGAAAATTTACTCATGTTCCAACAGGTCCTCCTCCGCGGCTGCAGATCCGTCGAGATTGATGTATGGGATGGGGAATTGGACACCCCAAGCTCAAGTGACGGCGGGATAGGCAGTGACAGTAGCAGTGATTCAGAGACTGAAAAGGGGAAGGGTATGAGGAGCAAATTGAAAGAAAAGATGACGGGCCGGAAAAGTGGCCAGGAGAAAATTGGTAAAGGACATAAAAAATCCTTATCCTCCAAATTGGAAGCGAAACTTGATGGCGTCCTTCGTCGCAAATCTGCCAAGTCGCCCCCGCGGCCATTGGACGAAGACACCGCGACGAGCCATATGCCTATTCCGGTTGAGCCTCGTGTCATGCATGGCCATACTCTAACCAAGGGGACCACATTCCGTGAAATCTGCTATGCAATTCGTGACAGTGCATTTGTTGCCAGTGATCTTCCAGTGGTTATTAGTCTCGAGGTACATGCGTCTCTCGAGCAACAACAGACGATGGTTGACATCATGTCGGAGGCGTGGAAAGGATTGCTCGTGGAGGCTCCTCCGGATGGAGAGAAGCTTCCCTTGCTAGCTGAGCTGAGGCGGAAGATTTTGATCAAGAGCAAAGGTGTCCCGCTCCATGGCGAGGACAAGAAACCCGAAGGAGAACCTCTGACGCCGCAGAATTCCGAGGAAAAGTCCCCGGGACAACATCCGCCGAAGCCTCCAAAGGTTCTTGAGGCTCTGGCCGAGATGGCTGTTTATACTCGCGCCTATCATTTCAGTCATTTCGATCAACCAGGTATGTATCATTGTAGATATGGTCATGAAGGCAATGCTAACTGACCAACAGAGGCTAAATTCCCTCATCATGTGTTCTCGCTGTCCGAGAAAGCAGCGCGAGAAGCCCATGCCAACCATCGCGAGGCCTTGTTCGAGCACAACCGAACATCTCTGATGCGTATCTACCCGTATGCATTCCGAATCAACTCATCGAACCTTGATCCAACATTCTACTGGCGACGTGGCGCTCAGCTAGTAGCGTTGAACTGGCAAAAGCCGGACAAAGGCATGATGCTTAACCACGGAATGTTTGTTGGAACCCACGGCTGGCGACTGAAGCCCTTTGGCTACCGCAGCAGCAATTCCCCGATAGATATCATCGTGCGCCACAACTTAACCCTCTCAATCGAAGTATTCGCCGCGCAAGGCCTCTCTCTCCCACCGGGCGACCACAGCGAGAAGGGATTCAAACCCTATGTGAACTGCCAGCTGCACGTCGAAGAACCGGACGGCGACATCACCCCGGGCCAGGACGATGCCAGCTCCGACACGGAGAAAAGCAGCTACAGGCGGTGCACGAAGAGTTCCGTAGGTTGCAACCCGGACTTCAAGGGCCAGAGATTGGAGTTCCCGACCGTGATGGGAATCATCGAGGAGCTGAGTTTCCTACGGTTAGTTTTTCTTTTCTCCGAGATTCCCCCTTGCTGCTTCTCTACCCCTCATCACATTCGTTTTCAAGTATGCAGGCATAAAACCTGCATTGTGATACCCGAGAATATATGCACTTTCCCGCATCACATAATCATGACGAGTGGGCTTGGGATTTGCTTCTTCCAGACTTCCCACTTGGTAACGTTATGCATTATGCACTATCCACTATTGGGCTTAGGGTTAGCAGGGCGACCTGTGGCTTTCCGCAGAATCAGCTCTACGGAGTCCTATCATGCATACCACCCTATGCGTTCCACTATCTACAAACAAGAAACTAACTCGGGTCTGCCTTCCTTTCTTAGGTTCAAAATCAAAGACGACGAAATCGGTCGGGATGCATTAGCTGCGTGGGCTTGCGTCCGGCTTGACCGGCTGCGGGAGGGTTATCGGCTGATTCATCTCCATGATTATGCCGGCGAGAAGGCTGGCGGGATCTTGCTGGTTAATATTGTGAAGCGGGTTACTTGACTGCCCAGATGACGTTGTCACCGTGTATTTATTTGTTTAGATTGTCGGTAGTATAGCGATAAAGTATATCACAAATTCTGGAATTCTATATTTTACGGAACAGAAGGCCATCGAAGGAAACACAGCGCCAGGACCGCCGAGTATCTTCAAGCAGGGTTTGGGCAGCATGTCGTACAGCGCACCTACGCATTAGGAGCATGCGGAGCAAGAAAATGTAGCAGGAAGGCAGGCCGATATCTGATAAATGTGACAAGTCCTTCGACATGTGTATCACAAACTCATCCCATTCATTTTGACATGACCCCAAACGGCAGGCTACATATTAGGATCGCTACCGAAGTGCAATCTGCCCGTCAGCATGCATATCTGACTCGAGAACGTCACACAGAAGCAATGACACTTCGGCACTTCGGCTTTTGAACTCTTCTCTTCTAACTTCGAGAACTGCATTGCAGAGCTAAGGCGCAACAATTTCGAAGACAGAAACAACTAGTCTCGGCCTTACAATTTCTCGCCAAGGGTGTCTGAATAAAGGCATAAAGGCCGAGCGCGGGGTAGATCATGTCTTACTTTAGCTAGGCGGCTCCGTTGGCATCGAAGTGGGTGCATGGAGAGGTCTGTAGGCTGCCTGCAGTGTCGTGCTGGCGGTATATATCACGTTAGAGGATTCAATTCTTAGCCGCATGATATGCATTGTGCCGATGCCGCGCATGGGTACCATTCCAATATGTTGGTTTCCGGAAGAGCGGCTACTGTAGATGTGCATATCGCAATCCGTGACTTGGGCGATATCTAAATCGGGTTCATTTACTAGGTTCGCTATGTACGAGAAGAAGTAGCGGTGACGGATCAGACAGACTCGGGCGTAATGGTGATGCATAGAAACGTGGGGTAGTTGTCCAGCCCTGGACTTCGAAGCATTTGGCCTATTGATAGTATAGTACGTGGGTGGAAAAAATGGTCTTGCATGCTGCGAGCCATAGCCCCAACCGTGGGGTTCGTACCAGAGGAGGATCGGTGAGACCGAGAGTCAAATCACTAGGTACAATATCACCTTAGAAGGGTCAAGGCGCCAAGTTACATGCATCAGATTGATCAACATGGCTAGTGGGGACTAGCAGATAAGTCAAGTTGACCGGTAAATCCTCCGATAAAGTTGTGGCCAAAGAGGGTCACACGTCGGCTGAAGGATCGCAATATGAGACGTCTACGGTTGTCCTCCGATTGCCCAGGGCCTCAACGAATACGGAGTCTGGAATAGTCGGTGACTCAACGATAGAACTCGACATGGTTCTTCCTAAGCAAAGTACAATTTGTCATCTGACAGATCCTGGTGCAGGGGTTCATGCGTCACTTCCACAAAATTTGCATGCAGAACAGAGTGATAATCGGCCTTTGGCGTTGGATCAAACGGGCTAGAACGGTACGGCCAATGATCGGAGGAGATCGTCTTTTTAAGGAATGGAGGGAACCCACGTTGAAGGTCATTGGCCAATCACAGCATGCCTCCTACCGAAGATGACCGAACACTAGCCCTATCTGGGATCTGCCATCGTTCTGGGGTTGATACGTCAACTCTTGAATGTGTTGAGAAGTTGCAATTTCCTCGTCTCCCCCCTTTTGCTTCGAAGTATCGGTGAATTGATGCAAGTTGCCGAGACCCGCTACACTCATTTCTTTGTCTGATTTCTTTGGATCGCTGATCCCTTAGCCTTTTGGACGAAAACATGGTGAACTCACAAGGCCGGAGGCCTCGGGAAGTACCGACGAAGCCGCTGTGATTGGCCTTGGTAGGCTAGTGGCGTACAAAAGAGGATCATGATGACCCTTTTTTTTGGGCACAGGTACCTGTGCAAAAAGGCAAGCCCGTCAAGACGAACATCCATCTACTGTTACTGGCTGATATCATTGGGCCAAACAAAGAAGTGACTGCCAGGTAAGTTTTTGATATTAAATTTGAGATTACAATATTATTATTTCCATATTAATTATTTTTACCTGATTAGCCAATGTGAACTAGATCTATTCTTCTCTTTCGCCTTTTCCCTTGCTTTCCAGGCCTTATAAGGACCCCTCCTCGTCCTGTTCCATGGCCTTGTATTCAGACTTCAACCTAAGACAGTCCTGAACATCCTCGGGCTTCGGCAAAGAACTCTACTCACACCTTCTCTCCTCGACGTCTATCCAAGCAACATGTGTTCCTTCACCAAATGTGCTGCACCAGTGTGCTCTAACTCCGCTGTCATCACCAAGGTCCGTACACCTTACTCCTATATCGATGTGGTACTTCCAGCACATTTACGAATATACTAACTATCAACAGATGCCTGGTGTGCGATGCCCCAATTGCCAAGCACAGGGGAAAGAAGTCTGGGTTATCCCAGGCAAGAACTGTCACATCTGCCACACCCCTTGTGGTTGATAACTTCGAGGTCCTGTGCTGCACATCTATGGGGGAAAAGACCGTGCAGTCAAATCTGCCCATGCTGTCCGGATATGATCTGATTCCACACTTCAACTTCATACACTCTCCCGGTCATATGGGCATTCCCTCTTGAATCTGAAGGATGAATTCAATACGTCTAACACACGAAAGGCCTGCGAATACCTTGGAGATTGATACACTTATTTGGGACTGGGTGAACCCCAGGTGGAAGGCGCAAAATGTTCTGTCGTGGTGTTTTTGTTACTATTTTCTTTAGCGTTTTCTGATAATGAGATATGACAATTCTTGATTTTGGCTTTTCTTCACTAGACGAAATGGTGCTGTTCTTGCCATCGGGCCGAGTAGATCAGACAGGCTGAAGTGCCACTCAGGTAAACTTTTTAAGTACAATCTAGAAGTAGTAGGTAGCCCACGTGGGAGTTCCCGGGTTATATGACATCATTCACTCATAGCGACAAGAGTGCACGCACAGAGTAACTCTACATATATACGGGAATATAGCTATGATACATATTTGACTCCCTCTGGTGTATAAGCCTTTGTAAGCTGACGCAGGAAAGCAAGATGAGGTTCTATATGCCACTACTCCTCTAAGCACTATCCCTATAAAGTCATGCTAAGACTGTACTTCGGCTGCAATAAAGCGGCAAGAGATACACCCCAAAACAGAAAAGAACAGGGTGCGTGACCTGGAAATTTATCCGGTCCATACGTATCCATCGCCTTCAACTTCCATCTCATCCACAAAGAAAGCAACATTACAAATCCAAGCCAGATCACCATGACGGAAAAGTATCCCATCGGCACACGCACCGAGAGCGAGCGTCTCGTCCGCGAGTGGGGGTTTCGACATATCTTCACCTGGACGGATGGAAGGTACGTATAGTTTTTTGTTAGAATCGATACATGATACACCCAAAATGAAACCCAGCTGGACTACGGCAGCAAAACGTTCTCTCATTTGATGTATGCATTGATGCTGACTTTATTCAGCAACGCCCATTATTCCCCGCACTCGCATGGCGGTCTGACGACACATCTTATTCGTCGGGGGTCTCTGACTATCGCATACCCTGATGATAATGCGGAGCATAATGGGGAAGCTGAAAAGGTGACGTTTCGAGTTGGGGAGAGGGTTGATGTTCCTGCTGGGAAGGTTCATGAGGTTTGGATTGGGGATGAGGGGTGTGAGTATGTGATTGGAGAGTAGAAGGTGACTTTTGCTTTTACTATAACCATTGTTTCTACTGATTCGGAAATTCGTTGATAAATGTTGTGACATTATGCCGATAAGCTCAGCTCATTCTATTCTAGTTATTGAATATTTTTTAAGTCTACCTGTGCCAGACAATGTAGTCGTGTCTCTAGTGCAAGAATCGGAAATCAAGTCTGTACGGGCATTAGTACTCAGTTGCACAGCAGGAGACAACTTGAAACATACCTCTTGTTTCCAAGATCCTTGTTTTCAACGACGTATCGTGAGCGCTCTTCGCTGGACATTTTGTCCCAGACAGCGGCATTTTGTCTAGAAGGGAATATTAGCAAAACTATTGGATCTCACAGTACGGGCTGACATACTTGTTACGCCACACGTAGTAAACCTTGGCAAGGATGAATATCGCCATGCTCCACACCGAAAGAGCAATAAGGACCTTATTACCGGTGTGGTAGTACGGCTTATCCGGGGTACGGTAGACCTATGTGATGGTTAGTTATGAAGACTCGAGAACAAGGAACCGGAAAGACTCACGTTGTTACCAATGATGTTACTAGCCTGCACCATCATGTTGTAGATAGCAGTAGCAACCGTTCGCGTCCTCACAGAGCCTGCATTGCGGGATGTAATTGCGACGATAATCGCGTGCACGTAAGGCATACCAATCAACAAGATCAGCAGAACCCAACGCACCCAAGGACTAGCACTCTCAGATACAGTCTCCAACGCGATCAACAGGACCATAGCCCAAATCTCAGCACCGACGCCAAGCAGCAGTCGCTGATTGAACCGCTCGGAAGCCCAAGTCCACAATAGCAGATTGATAATGAAGATCACATAGGCCGGGATGGTGAGCAGGTTGGTGTTGAAAGTACTGAAACCAAGCGACTTCAGTTCCAGACTGATGTACGACGTAGCCGGTGTGCTGGGGATCATCCAGGTCAGGCCAAGCAGGTAGATGAGCCACATGTCGTAGTCCTTCAGGGCCTGCCAGAGCAGCTTGGGAGTCACGGCCTGGCGATTGTGCATGGTTCCCTTACTCGGATCATCGCGCAGGACACGGTTGACCATGATTTTCTCTTCGTGCTCGTTGAACCAGCCCTTCTTACCGCGGAACCGGCCTGCGGTCTGTGTTGGCGAGGGCGGCATATAGAATGCAGCGACGATACCGATCAGTCCGGTGATACAACCCTCCAGGGCGAACAAGTATCGCCAGCCGCCGGTGCCGTCCGATTGGCGAATGTGGAGGAAGCCAAATGCGAGGAAAGCGCTGACAATCGCGGTGGCTTCGTATGTCATCCAGAAGTAGCTGAGTCGGATAGGCAGCTCCTTGGACTTGTACCAGAACGATAGGAAGAGAATGGTGTCGGGGATGAAGCCACCCTCGAGGAGACCGAGCATGGCGCGGGTCGTGAAGAATCCGGCTCTGTTGTGCATAAATGCCTGGCATGAGGCGATGAGACTCCAGCTGATCATTTGCACTGGAATCCAGCGATCGGGGCCGACCCATTTTGAAATGAGCTGAGAGGGCAGCTCGGCGAAGAGGAATGTTAGGTAGAAGATTGTTTGGCCGGTGTTGTAGTCGTTTGTGGTCATGCCTAGATCGTCTAGCATGTTGTCTGACGTGGCCTGGACGATGTTTCCACGGTCTAGTTGGAGCGCAAAGAAAGTCATACAGGCAAATGTGCAAATGCGCCAATCAATCTGCGAAGGGTCAGTTACTTGAACAGAATACGGGAGAGTTCAGTAACCCATACCTTTCTGACAATGGCTTTCTCTTCTTCCTCTGTCCACTCAAAGTCCGGGTCCCAGCGATGGGCACCCTCATATTCAGGAATGGGCTTGTAGAACCGCGGGTCCTCGGTTGTATCAAAAGCACAGTCGGTCTGCTTGGCACGAGGGCTGTCATACGTCGACGAAGACGAAGACTCTGCGGATAAGACTTTCTGGGTAGGCTTAGAGTCAATAGGCCCGGCATCGGATGCCGTCTTATTGGCGTCTTCAACCGTCATCTCGTATGGGATTGGAAGTGAGATTACGGATGGAGAAAAGAAGCATTGCTTGGGCTGGGCATTTACTCATATAAGGGAAGACTCATACGTTTATTTATCACGCCATATTTGGCAGATGTTTCGCTTTGGCCTGTGCAGGATGTGGACCAGGCGAAAAGGTAAAAGTCACAACATCGAGGGCAGAAAGTTGTGGAACTGCGATGATCCTGGGCGATTTAGAGTCAATTAGGGTTGACGAGATTGGCTAGGTTGGCTCGGTTGACTTAGGGAGGCCTAGCCTGGAACTCAGAAGGGCACTCTACAGGATAGATAGGGTAGACGGGGAAAGTTTCCAGATCCAAGAGATTTGTTGAAGAAAAACAGACGGAAAGGCGACGTTGGCTTGAATCACGCAAGTGTAGTGGGATTGACGTTAGAGTCAACGAGTTAGCGGAGTCAAAGTCAGCAGGGGTCTCGCAGAATGAACCTGTTTCATGCAGATCTTCATGAATGCGAGTTAGCGTTGAATAATAAGTATTCTACGAACTCTTGTATGTATTCACGACAACCTATGGTGCCTCTACGCCGTACCCTAAGTCCCTTACATGTTCCATATCTAGAACATTGACTAACTATACAACTATAACTATGGAGATAATATAACTCCTAACTATAATAAATAGAAAATATCGCGCCAAGCCAGTTGTATATGACGCCATCAGCAGCGTATCTCGCGTACTCCCACAGCGCAACGGTCGACTCGTTTTCTTCAGATCACGGCAATTGGCAATGCACGCACGCAATTCGGCTATCACGTCATTCCCAATGCGACGCTTATCTCGTATACATACAATAAGAGTACGTACCTCGAACCTCCTCGGCTCGCTCGCTAAATTGATTGTATGATAACACAAAGTTGACACTTTTCTGATTGTCCCGCAAAAACCGCAAAACCCCGCAATGATGGCGCAATTCGTGTGCTCGGTTTGCTGGTGCCGAAATAGATATATATTGCCGGTGTAAACCCACTAGAAAAGATGAAGAAACATATCTGATCCGCAGAGGCAACATACACATACCTCGCAAACTCAAACATGGCTCCCTCCCTCACTGAGACAGTAGGCCTTCGCGCCCCGCCTGTTGCGCTTCCGCTCAAGGCGGACGGTGGTTTCAACAAGGAGAACTTGATCGGCTACAAGATTGAAAAGGATGTTGAGATTAAGGGCACAGACAAGGTGGCTCCTGTATCTTATCCGGAATATCTGCCTGTTTGGGACAACGAGACAGAAAGGTATATTGGCCTTGATGATGGCTTCCTAGGAATACCATATCTAATAGACATCTAGATATCCTCCTCTGACGCCCTTTGAGCACTACGACCACGGCAAAGACGCCGACCCCTCTTTCTCAGAACTGCTTCCCGAGGGAGTCCAAGTCGACCAGCTCACTCCCTTCATTGGCTCTGAGATCCACGGCGTGCAACTAAGCCAACTCTCCGACAAGGGCAAGGATCAATTGGCTCTGTATGTTGCACAGCGACGAGTCGTCGGTACGTGACAGCCCTTTTTTCCATCTCCATCTCCAAGCACGGATCTAACAAACCATCCAGCCTTCCGCGACCAAGACTTCGCATCCCTACCGATTCAAAAGGCCGTCGACTATGCCGGCTACTTTGGCCGACACCACATCCACCAGACCTCCGGTGCCCCCAAGGGATTCCCAGAGATCCACCTCGTCTTCCGCGGTGCCGACGACCGCACTGGCGAGACCTTCCTGAAGCAGCGCACCAACACTATCACATGGCACTCGGACGTCACCTTCGAGAAGCAGCCCCCCGGCACAACATTCCTGTATGCGCTCGACGGCCCCACCACCGGCGGCGACACCCTCTTCGCCGACATGGTCCAGGCATACAAGCGTCTGTCGCCTGGCTTCCGGGAACGTCTCCACGGATTGAAGGCCGTGCACTCCGGCCTCGAGCAGATCCACGCTAGTTTGAACGGTGGTGGTATTGCCCGCCGTGATCCTGTTTCATCGGAGCACCCCATTGTTCGCACTCACCCCGTTACTGGCGAGAAGGCGCTTTACGTGAACCCCCAGTGTAAGTCTGTCTCGACACTTTTGAATGATTGGGAAAGCTGACATGTCGCATAGTCACTCGTTACATTGTTGGATACAAGAAGGAGGAATCCGATAACCTTCTCAAGTTCCTGTACGACCACATTGCCTTGTCGCAGGATCTTCAGGCTCGTATTCGCTGGAAGGCTGGTACTGTTGTCGTTTGGGATGTAAGTTACAGCCTCAGCCTATTCTTTCAATGAGAACAAAAGCTAACCTTCGCAGAACCGTGTGGCTTGCCACTCTGCCGTTTTCGACTGGGAGGATGGCCAGCGCCGACACATTGCTCGTCTCACACCCCAGGCCGAGGCTCCCTATGAGACACCCTTTGAAGGTTAGATGGGGCGCTGGAAGCCTTCGAATTTAAAATAACACGTCGCTATGATAATCCCACAAATTGAGAAGAACATCAATGAATAATTTGAATATCATGCTTGCATTATCAGCGTAGACCTGTACAAACATAGTAATACGTCGGTAATCTCTCTTCCTCTGTGCCATACATACAAAAACCCAACAACTCAAGCCTTCTCGCGCCTGAACCGACTCAAAAGCCCAACATGCCACTCGTTAAAACGCCTAGCAGAGAGCGGGAGCATCTCGTTACTCTTAGTCAACGCCTGCGACATGGCTTCAAAGATCATAGACGGCAACTCCAACTCTTCCACCGACAACGGCGAAGGATTCCCGATTTCCGGATGGAGCAGCTCGTCCACATCAGGAGCCTCTTGGTAGAACACCTTCATCGCTTGCTGGGCCATGATACTATCGCCTGCGCTGGAATTCGAGTATCGCATGTCTGGGTTGAAGACCCACAGCTGTCAAGTAGAATATCCGTTAGTGTCATTTCTAGAATTTGATATGGCTCAAATTCGGGAGCGAATAGGAATGGAATAGAATATCACCTACCACGAGACCGCTCTTCTGGCCACAATGAACGACGAATCGTCGGGCGCTTTCTCTCTCGATCAATTCGAGGAGCTGTGCAGCGACGATTGTTTCTGTCGGGTGGACCTCCCACTTTGTAATGTCTGCATCGCTGGATGAATTCGTGTTCAGGGATACGTTGGCTTTCAGAAGTCGCCATCCCTTGGCGGTTGGATCTTCCATGCCGATAATGGAATTGCAGTTTGTGCAGTCGAGGGTTCGTTGTGGTGAGAGTTTAATGTTCGCTTTGTGCTCTTCATCATTGCCCTGGATTGCATGCTTGTCAGTACGTTGTACCTGAAACGCGAAATGAACTATTGCGTCGAATAATACTTGTAAATGAAGGAAAAAGCATTGCATTCAAGGTCAAGGTTATATAGAGCACATCATGCAAGGAAAAATAATATATGTAACTCTGGTAATCACGCCCGCTCCACTGCTTAGATAGCCGGCGCTGAAAATAGAGAACACCCTGAGTCGCAGAACAGGAAAAAGCGGCTCACACAAGTCCAGTATCGCAAACGAAAAGAGCGAAATCCATCTGGTTAGAGAGGATAACTACCCCCCGAATTTGTGATCCTGTTCCTGTGAGAGTACCACCTTCGCTTGAATTGCAGTACACAAGGTGCATTTCGTCCATCTTGGGCAATTGTATCGGAGGCCACCCCACTGATAACTGAGTGGTCCCCTTCTAAGTTGCCCGGTTCTGGGGATAAAAAGGGGGAAATGATGATGGGAAGAAGAGGGGATGTATAAATCTTACCTTTCTCAATCCTATGCAGTCTGTTTCAGCAAGGAGGAAAGTAGCAACATCAACAAAGACCGTCCCGGAAACAGCCACAACGTGGCTATCCGCACCATACCCTTTAGTCTGTGCGGTTTGGTCCTCAATCTCGAGCGCAGTGTCTTTCTCCTCTTTCTCGTGATCTGCATGGGGGTCAGGTTTGTGGCAATGCCAGAAATCCATCATTTCAGCCCAGTTCCCACTTGGAAGGTCTTTCCAGATCCACCCCGGGGTAGTTCCCTGATTAACCGACTCGGATATTAGCGAGGGATCAAGAAAAACCTGTTCACACTCTCGACAACGAATACGAGTCGAAGACGACATTTCATCTGCTGTCCAGGGTGTGAATTCATCAATTAGTTCATCCCGTGGCGCCAGCGCCTCGTCATTGGGATCGACCTGCATGCGGAAGGAATAATCATGGCTGGGGTTCCTGGTGCCACCGGGATAGTTGGTGCTACTGGAATCCCTGATGCCACTGGAATTCCTGGTGCGACTGGGATCCCTGGTATCACTGGGTTCCGATTTCGGTACTGGCCCAATGGGTGTTTCCAACACACGCCGGGATGCGGCGCTAACGCGCGCGGGCAGTTTGATTGTTTCTGTGACATGTTTAAATGGTTCTGGTAGGGAGACTGTGACTGCTTTTCTTGATTCTGAAAGTTGGATATCTGGTCGAATTCCGTCAAATTGTGTTGTCTCGGGAAGTGACACGTAAAGAGTTATCTGGCGGATGTTTGGTAGAAATTCTGCGTGTAGATAGAGGGGGATATCGGCATCCTGCATTGCAGATGTTGTACAAGCTCGAATGTGTGCCAGACAGGGATGGTGCTTGATGCCCCGTCAAAAGGATAAGACGAGAGAGGGTGAGCAACAGGGGTGATTATTTAGCAATCATGTGGAGCTGGAGTTTCTGACTGTCTAAGGCCATGAGAAACATGTCGCGCTTAGATTATTTGGACGTTAACTACGCCGCAGTGGTGGATGTCATGACCGCGTTTGTCAAATGCAAACAATGCAAACAACCTTGGGTACCTTGGGAGCCAACATCTACACGTGACCCCATGTATCGCTTCGTCGAAATGAAGAAACGATCATCTATCAATTTATTTTCTTCGATTATTCATTAAATCGTACATAAATTTGAGTTAAGTAGAGTATGAACAAAGCCTACAGATCATATCCGACAAAATTCCCTCCCCAACACTTGAACTCAGTCGCAAATCGCACAGCAGCCTTCAAGAAGAAGCTATCAGAATCGCCCCAAGTCGAGGCCAGTTCCTTCAGTGCTCGAGTGGTCTTGACAAAGTACACATCGGATGAAAATTCACCCTTGACAGCTTTCTCGGCAACCCATTTCCAGTCCTTTCCATTCAAGTCATAATTCCGGATTTGGTCCATTTTGATCTCGGGCCGCAGTTGCGCGACGTAGATGCCCACACAGATCAACCACCATTGGCGAAGAAGAGAGATTTGAAACTGGGGAGGAATTAAAGGCAACATGACACGGACCGCGTGGCTGGTTGCGAGGTTCATAGCGAAGAACCAATCGTAATTCCCGGCCGAATCTGCTGTCCCAACTAGCAATGCAGCTGCAAGCTCTTGGCTCTCGCGGAACTGTTCAATTGGATTGTCGATCTTCCATGCTTTCCAGTGCTTGAGAAGCACGGCGTTGTGGCTGACAAAAAGGGTATTGAGGTTGTCGTCGCCGGGAGTGGAAAAGAGGCCATCTAAGTCCTTATCTTTCCGGACCATGTCAAATATTTCAAAGAGTGACTTTGATTCATATTGTACCTCATTTTTCGAGAGTTTAGGGTCCTCCAGGGACTTGTATATGTCGTTGTGACAGGTTGCTGCAAGGCCGAGTGCCTCCATTGCAACTTCACGACTGTCCATTTCAAAGGCGTATGCAAGATGAATCAATGGCAATCCAACTAGACAGATGTTAGAGCGTGATCCCCCCGGAAAGCTGAAAACATACGAGAAGCCATTATAGAATCAAACATGGGCTCTTTGCCAGTATACAAGTATTCGGCCACAACTTCCTTCCAGTCATAGCTGCGGTGAACGACTTCATCTTCAAAAAAATCCACAAAGGCTCGATCAAATCTGGTTGGCGTTAGTGAGGGGTCCCAAGTTGGAAAGGCCCAGACAAGCCCAGCAACCCACCCTCGCCGTCCCAAATGACCTCGCCAATCAAGGGTAGTAATTTCTGCCGGTGAATCCTTCCATTTGACTAGACCAGACACTTCATGCTCGTATAGGCAGCCTAAAGTATCGGCATCTGCGCCTTGCAGAAAGGAGGAGCTCAAGAGCTGCAAGCAGGTCAATTTCATGGACTAACGAGTAATCCATACATAGGAAGCTAATGTTACTAATGTAATTCAAATGACTCACATGTATTAACTGATTAGGGAAGTTCCGACGGTCGAAGAGCGAGTTCTCGACATGGTTCAATTTTAGTAGGTGCTTGAATGCCCGAGCTGCCTTGTCTTCAGCTGTCTCGGTTTCATGGACGTGGACAGGGGGCAGATCGATCGCCTGAGTTGGCGTGGACGAGAACAGGCCAAGCGAAGGCAGTGATGGCCACCGAACAGTAAACATTTTGCTGATTAGTGAAGCTATGTGTAGGCGTTTGGATGGGATTGTTGGGAAAGCGTCACGTGAAGCAGAACGTCGTATGACGTAGGAAATTTAGGTTATCAATCTGGTGACTTCTGGTCACATGACCTGGTGAATCGGACGACTTCCAGCTACTCACCTTGCTTCAGATATACAAAAGCATTTTTTGATGAATCAGACGATTGGGTAAATCGATGCTTTCGGTATATTCCAGAAAATTGTATTATTTTACGACATATTACTATTTCTAGATGGGAAAGAGTGCCTGGATTGAGGGATATTCCATATGAAAATTCATGATTTTGCGCCATAATTTACATTGCATGCATATCCTGACCGTCTGAACCTTACGCCTTATGATGTTCAACCATTGGAATCGGCTGCTCCGGCTGAGCAGCAACCTCTCCTTGGAAGACTTCCATTTCAAGACGGGGACCGACGAAATTCTTGCGTCCATCTACCATCCACTGAATGAAAGAGATAATAAAGACAATACCAAATGCCGCAACACAATAATCTGTCACATCGAATTAGCTTTATGTTTTTGCATCAAAAAAAGAGAGTCAACTCACTCATGTTGCTACCAGTGGCAGGCAGCTCAGGGGGGAAGAGGAAGAGGATAGTAGTCAGAAGAATGTACGCCAGCGAGATCTGAGGTTTTGAGTTAGTAATAATTTCAGTGAACCGCAGGGAAAGGTATCATACGATGTTGATGGTCCAGCCAACAATTTCTGGCAGGACGAATGAGCGCTCCGGTAGCATTTTTCTTCCTCGGCAGCAGTTCACTGCAATTGGCATTCCATATGAAAGGCCGAGCAACACCACTGACGCTGAGACAATAGCATTGAAAGCACTTGGAGATGTTAGCAATATCCAGGGTGGAGTGTTATGCATATGCTTACCTGGATGAGCCCAAGAAGATACAACCGAATATGACCACGAGAGCCAGATTGAGATATAATGAGTTCAATGGGACGTTTAGTTTGGGGTGAACACGAGAGAAGAAGGGAGACGCAGGGAGACCGCCATCACTATAACTATATCAGTATAATGACCAAATTTGAAAGATGAACAATAACGTACCGCGCGAAGGCGTAGACCATACGACTGCTAGTAGTCATAATAGCGATTGCAGCGAATAAAGCGCAGACTAGGGGGAAGCTAGAAAGGTGTCAGTACAAGGAAGAGACAGGAGAGCAGTGACACCTACATCAAGAGACAGATAGCGCCTGCGTTGCTCGAAGTGGCATTCTTCAAGATTGCAAGCAGCGGGGTTGCAGCAGAATCAATAACTTCGTTGATATCGCCAGCCACAAAGAGCAGCACAATAAGGAAGATGGCTCCAGTAACGGTACCGATCACGACACAAGCAATCATGATCTTGGGCCCCTCAACCGAGGGATTGGGGATTTCTGTAATCCATTAGCCTCAGATCCATATCCAAGTGTAAACTCCTGGAAGTTACCTTCAATCATGTGGGCGACACCGTCAAAGCCGGTAACACCAAGACCACCTTGCAGAAGCTATGAATATGTTAGAGATGCTCATGAACTTTCGCACGAACGACATACCCCAAGCAACCACGCAATTCCATCAGGCCCTATAACAGTCAGTTTGAGAGCATAGTTAGATAATGATCGGTAAGACTTACAGCCTGTTTCGTTGATGAAGTCGGTGAAGACAAATCTGTTCATTGTCAGTGATTTAGTTCTAGGATTGTCGAGCAGACAAGACGTACTCTCCGGAATTATAGTTAGGCGAGGCACATGAAAGTACAGTAATGCAAATGATGGCAAATCCTGACAAAGACCAGATGACTGTGGGAATTAGTAAGAAGTCTCCGACAGCTCGGTATAGGGTATCTCACAAGCTGCCTTGGTGACATAGGGCATAATGTTGTTCATAAAGGCATTGACGAGGAAGGCAACGATATTGTAGCCGATGTAGATTAGGAATTGGTGCCAGCGCTGGGGGTTATAGCTCTGGATATGGAAGTTAGTCAAAGATATCAACGTTATAGCTCAGAATAACCTACCGGGTTCATGAGAGAGATCACACCCAGAATAAGCTGACTGCCCAAAAGACCAGCAGTTGCGACCAGCGCAACCCAGCCAGAGCAGTTGATCCAGCCAGTGATCCAGGAGAGAATTGGCATCCATTTTTTCCACGAAGTCACAGCGACCCAGTGATATTGGCCTCCGGCAGTGGGGTATGCAGAAAGAAACTCGGCTAGGGAAGTGGCCATGCACAAATTACAGATTCCGGCTGTAATAAGACCTATTGAGACTCGTGTCAGCTCTGGATTGAGAATCGACAGAGAGCCAGGCGGATACGTACCCCAGACAATACTAGTGCTTCCTCCCGAGGGTAAACTGAGAGACAAACTTGCCGATAAAGCAGTCCATGACTGTCAAATGTCAATTGTTGATTCTCATGGAACTTGGTTTCCGGGCGCGTCACGTACATTTAGAATGGCAAAAGCAAGGCCCAGCATTGAACTTCAAAACGAACAGACATTAGCACAATCAGGAATTCATGTTCACTTGCAGCACGTACATCAGCGAGTAATTTCGCTTCAGCTCCGACTTATGGCCCAGCTGGGCCAGCTGAGCCTCGTCGCTATTGTATTCTTCTTTGTCCATATCGAGTGCTGTGTATCACAAGCAACAAGTGATGGAAAGAAGAGGACAGGTAAGGAGGAACAAGGGTATTATTAAACCAGTCCCAGATTGCATGACCTGACAACGGAATTTCGAATATCAAATTCTCCAATCTTGCCGTTCTGCGCTACCGTTGGCTCCCCGCGGGGGAATACAGCGAGTACGGAGAAGTGTTAGGTAACGGATTTGGGGTTATAGAACATTAGCCAGGGCGGCGATAACCGGCCGTGCCTGTGACTGGCTGGGCGGACCGAGATCGGCAACTTCGGCCAGTCAGAGCTGTGAAGTCAATTAGCTACCAAGGCTTTTGGTCAATCGCGGACCGATGATCCATGGCTTGCGGCGGCAGCCCCAGTGCTTATGCCACGATCGGCGTGTCATTGGTCAATTGCCGACCCCACATTTATTGACTAGCGGGAAGAAGTCTAACTCGGGGAAATGGATAACTGCGAAAGGACATATCTGATATGCAGGATACATGAAGATAGATTGTTCTCGAAGATCCGGTCCAACACTCTCGACTTTTACTGTTTCTAGAGGCTTTTACGGCTTTTGCCCCCTGTTTCAGTGAACCGGATCGAGACGTTGAGGTTGAGCTATGTGGAGCGGTGGGCCGTAAACCTTCCAAGGTTATCTCTCGAGACAAATACTCCTATGTAAAGATATCTCTTGTCTTCACTGAGTGGACTCCTTTCACCATGTGGCATGCTTTCTTATCCGATCGTCCATCAGGACGTACCCGCAGAGGCGAAGTGTGGGCCGTTGACCTTGATCTTATTCCAATGTGCTCCGAGCGTATCATCCAGAAAGAAGATAATTATGAGAATCGAAGGATTCATTTACATAAAACGAAGAAGAGCAAATTTACTAACTAGTTAACTAGAATTTGTATTGATTTGTCACTTCCATTATCCCGAGAATGTACCGGGTACAAAGTAGTACGTGCATTGTTCAATCCCAAACCACGTCTTGACATCATCCATGGAAATCCAATCCTCAGAATTTCCAACCTCTCATTGTTCAAATGACAAATCATGGCTGGTCTCAACAAACATGGCCAGGCAAACAACCCAGGACCCCCTTGACCCAGTGTTCCTCCAACTCCCCTGTCCGTTACAGCCAACAGTCTCAAACTTAATGAGGCCTCTCTGGCATCAGTTCTTGCATTCAGGGGGATAGAGCCACCTGTGGCTACATATTCTGACCCTCAGCATGCAGCAGGAACCAACCCCCAATGCACTCGGTTCGAACATGCTCAACCATCTCGGCCATGGTCCGCACATGAAAGGCGCGACGGAAGATCTCGAAGGATCGCTCATACTTGTCGAGAGCAGGATCAAGTTGCATCATCTCCATGTGGGTGTTGGAAATGGTCTCCATTTGGGGGTGCGTGAGCATGGCAGTGCAACCACGGCACGCGTAAAGAATTTTGCGCGTATTGTTTCGATTGACGACAGGCACCCGGCAGGAAACTTCATGGTGGAAAGCATGCAGATTGCAGTTTCCCAACGAGATGAGGAAACGCATCTTGACAGCGTTAGGGGTGTCCAGGGAAACAGCGCGATAAATATCATGCTGGTTTACGACCGTGAATTCGTCATCGGAACCATCTTCGTCGTATTCGTTGGCTTCGTCGTCGTCAGAACCGAACAGGCCCTCCGCAGCACGCTTGATGGCCTTGCGGGAGCCATGGATTTCCAGGGCTCTGGTCAGCGCCACCTTGACAGGAATAACCCAGGCACCAAGATCACCCAAATCCATGTCATCCTCATCCTTGCCCAGGCGCGGCAGGAACACGGTTTCGGGACCAATCAGATCGGGCAGGTCAAGGCCAAAGATCATTGCTGCGCGCTCCAAGGGGAGGCACCAGTATGCATGGTTGTTGTGCACGCATGGGTGGCAGATACGCTCCATGGTAGGAAGGTAGAGCTGGACAGTCGAGTTGCCACACATGACGCACTTCTCACGGATAATTGCCTCTTTCAGGTCGTGAATGCTCCAGATCTTAAGGCTCTGGATGTTCATGAGAATCTTCGGCAGGCCGGGGGCCCACTGCCGCAGGAGGGAAACCGCGCTTTTCTGCACATAGTGATTGGCGATGCGGTTGACGTATGACAGGCTGATAGCACTAGGCAGGTCGAGTTTGTTGATGATCATGTCTACGACTTCGTTCGGGAGACGACTGATCATTCCCAGGTCCGCAGTAGCGGTCCCCTTGGGTTTGATGGCCACTGGAACAGGCCGGACCTCGACATCAACGATGCCAGTTTCCAGGCTGCGGGGGCTGTTTCCAAGGATTGATAGCACCTTGGCAGCCTCCTGGTAGGTGGCAAAATCCTTTCCCCAGGCCAATTGCTCCGGTTCCAGCGTGATGGTTTGCATTGTAGCGAACCGCGCGTGCAAATCACAAGGAGGGCAATTTGTTGGGGAAAACGCGTTGCGCGTTAACGGATAAAAGAACTTTATCAGTGTTATGTCAGTGGCTGATGTGATGAACAAACACTGTAGGTATGATAAACGCGAACCTGATGAAAACAACAACCAACGCGCGGGTTGAGAAGGATGGAGTGGGAAGGGAGATGTGAAGAGGAAAGGGAAAAGTAACAACAAGAAGGCACAAGAAGAAAGAGACACAACCCCCCAGTTTATGGACTGAAGGGAATGGGAAAGTACGGGAACTGCCTGGCGTAACAAACACAATACCAGTACCTAGGGCACTTTACGATGTTTGTTCACATACTCTATTTCTCAGTTAAAGCTTTCAGTAAGCTTGTGCTCGTAGAAGGCCTCCAGCTCGACCTTCCATACATGCACTCTCATCTACTTGAGGATATAAAAGTGAGTCTACTAGGAAGATCAGTCCAAATAAGTCTAACGTCACTACCAAAGACAAAGTTACAACTGACTAGTGCTTCAATACTTCCGGAGAACAAAAGGTTATCCTGTTTCATTCATTGATGTCTGGTAGGAAACTTCACTACATCATGATAGAGGAAATGTCTGGCCTGCCAGTCCACCGGGGATATCACCAGAGCTGACAGCTGGTGGGCTGGGATAGACAGTAGTCTATGAATGCATCTATCAAAGAGATATCCTAGATCTAGTGTAATCTACATAGCTAACATGGTTCAAAATGTCTCAGTTCTGATACCTCTTCGTCATTAGAATCAATGCAAGTCGTAGGACGTCACATAACAGTCCAAGTCTAATGCAATGATACACTAAATAACATTGGTGAAAGTAGTGAATCATACTATCTAGAAATAAGGTACATATATCAAATTCTAACCATGTAGTACCTTGAGATACCCATGGTACTGTTAGTAGGCGCGCGGGTAATGCTAGCTTAATATCAACGGGTAACCTTAATTTGATATCCGGCCCACCAGGAACACGCGGTGTCACAGGGAACAACCTACCAACTTGAAATACTATACTCACAAAGATAACATTGTGATAGAAACCTAGAGATGTTGTAATGGCAGAGAAAATAATTAAAATGTACAGATGAACATAGGTATATCAAATCAGGATAGTAAATACAAAGGCCATCGGCCAGCTGGCACGTTAAAATATACAAACAGTGCCGGGCTTTCTATTCAACCTCCTCCATAGGGTTTTTCAAGTGATCAGTCCGAACGACGTAATCATCCTCGTCTTCATCATCTCGGGCATTGGCACCATCTGCCATATCCTCATCGTCACCATCAACAGATCCATCGGATTCCGCACCAGTGCGGGACTTTCCCTTTTTGCTAACGCTCTTTCCTTTGCCTTTGCTGCTGGTTGTTGACTGGCCGCTGCCACGGCGGACAAGGTTTCCTGGCCATTTATTCAGGCCTTTTATACGACCGTGGATGCTCCCGGTGGTGCTACTGGCACCATTTGTGGCAGGCTCTTCTGGAGTGGCTGAGCCGCCTTGGTGGAATGCCTCCATTGCCTCTGCGATTGTCTGTGGTGCGGTATGTGCGGAGTCTTGCTTTGACTTGTCTACTGCTTCGAAGGTTTGACGGATGCGCTCAAAGTGTTCGAGTTCCTTGGCACTGCGAGGAGTTAGTATCATGGTATGTCATGAAAAAGAGACAAGAGAGGAAAGAGGGTGAGTGATGGACACATACCTGACACTTGGCACGAGCTCTCCTTGAGCAGAAAGGAAGTCCTCCTCGGTTACCGTCACATTCACATCCTCCTTTGTGGCGAGGTGGTCAAAGAACCAAGCGGTGCTGACGGGACCACCTGGCAGAGTCTTAATCTTCTCGTCAACCGCAGTGGCCTTTCGAGTGATGGCTTTCAGCATGGCATCCGAGCAGAGTGCATACAGATCAGCACCGGTATAAGTTAGAGGAAGCTGTTCCGCAACGCGGTCAAGCGAGACATCGGGGCTGAGGGCGAACTTTCGCGTCAAGGCCTCGAGGATAGTCGCTTGCTTCCTATGTGTATCTGACACACCCAGGTAGAGCATCTTGTCGAAGCGACCAGGGCGGAGAAGTGCAGTGTCAAGTAGATCGGGACGATTAGTCGCACCGATGACAAAAACTCCACCGCTATTCTCCTCGCCGCCGTTCATTCCATCCAGCTCTGCGAGCAGCTGACTAACAATACGGTCCATAACACCACCACTGTCTCCCTGGTTACCACGCTTGGGCGCAACAGAATCCAGTTCATCAAAGAACACAACGCAGGGTCGAGCATCCCGAGCGCGCTGGAATACCCGGCGCACGTTTGCCTCGGATTCACCGATGTACATGTTGAGCAGTTCGGGGCCCTTGACGGAGAAGAAGTTGAGAGAGAACTCGGTGGCAATGGCCTTGGCAAGCAGGGTCTTGCCGGTGCCGGGCGGGCCATAGAACAAGATACCACTGCGCTTCTTCATGCCCTTGGCGAAGAGTTCGGGCCGTTCAAGTGGCAACTGAATGGTCTCGACCAAGGCATCCTTAACATTAGTCAATCCACCAACATCATCCCAGCCAACATTTGGAATCTTAGGTGCACCGATCGAATCGGCAAAGTTCTTCCGCGCAGCTTCTACAGCAGCGTCAAAGTCTGCCTTGTTGACACCTCGTGCACCGTCGCCTCCTGCCAGCAGGATGTCTCTAACAAAGACGTCCGAGCCGGAAAGCTTTTTGCTAGCCTCGGCCAGACTTTCGAGGCGAGCTGTTCTCGCCCCGGCAGCTCGTTCCACCACATCAACCAGATCTCCTGCGACAAGAGCTGCGGTCTTCAGAGCAATGCTGCCCAGTTCCACGTCCGCAGACAGTCTGATACTGCGATCTGCGACGGCATTTCGTAAAATGCCTTCACGCTCTTTCTCCTCCGGTGCACCCATCTCGAACTCATGGGTGATGAGGCTGCGGATACCTTCGGGGATAGTTTCAACATCGGTGGTGGTGGCAATAACAACTCTCGCATCATTCAAGATATCACTCATTGCCGTGACGATACGATCAGCAGTTAGAACCTCGATATGTCTGATCAGTAGTGCGGTGCAGTTTGCTCCGCAGTGGAAAGCCCGTTCTGCTCGGGCTTTGAGATATGCCTCGGTCTTGACATCGCCACCATTCGCACCACCTTCTGTCAAGATGTCGTACGCATCAATGGGGAATGTGTGGAGGCCGATATCCGAGCACGCTCGAGTGGCGACGGTTGCCTTGCCGATGTGCCTTTGCTGGGATCTGAGGAGAATGAAGACGGGCTTCATTCCTAGCTGAATAGCCCGCGGGCTTGTGGCAGCAGATATCAGATCACGGATTCGCTGCTGCAATACAGGGATAAAGGACTGGGGTGGTTCGGCAACAATGCCATGAGGCGTTGTGACATCATGGACGTTCTTTGGGATTGTCTTCACGCCCAGCCAATACTCCCATCCGTTGTCCAGCACTCCGGGAACTCGGCTCACGTCACTCCCAGCCTGTACCATGCGCGTAGTCGCTGGATCAAGTACAGCGACTCCACCCCACTGATCTTCGCCTGTCTCCTCCAGCTCCTCTACAACAGTTGGGGCTACATGCCCGACACGGAACCAAGCGACGCCAATTTTGCGGGTTCCGGCATTATTTGCATTGGCACCTTGGCCTAGCCGGATGGTAATATCCTCCTCCTGACTGGCACTGTCACCGCCAGCGGTGCCAGAGAACACCGCTCTGCCGAGTCCTTCGTCCACGCTAATTCCGACCAAATCACCACTTTTAAGGATACGCCGGCGTGACTCAAAGTACTGTTTCAACCCCGCAAATAGTGCTGGCTGAAGGACCCGATCCATTGAGAGAGGAGTGGAAACCTTGAGCAACGTGACCTCTTTCGCCAAAGGCGGGTTTTTAGCAGCAGTGTTCTTCATGTGATGCAAAAGACCGGGTTTGGAGGAGCTATTAGGGGTAACGAAGGTCATGGGGGAAATCCGCAGGTACTTTGGATTTTCAATGTTACCAAGAAGCAACGGGGGAACGAAAACTGAAGGGGTTAAGCGGGTGGGTGCACGTTGTGAGATACTGGACCGGCGTTCACCTGAGTGATTAATAGCATACCGCGGCTTGGAGGACGGAAGACCCGAAAGACCAAAGATCTTAACTGGGCGCCAATCGCCTGAGTCTTCAGGGGAGTCGTTGAAACTTCCAAATTTGAGCGAGGCGAACATGTTCAGCTGCGGCTCCTCGGCGGCTTCGATTCTGACCCAATCGCCAGAGAAGCATCCAATCTTGGCAAGGGTGCTGATATCTACAAAGACAAAGGAGTCGACGTCTTCATCGTCGCGAGGCCGAGGGTGCAACACCTCATTTGGGACTTTCTGCAAGAGTCCCTCCACCTTGAAAGTCTTGCCTCCACCACGGCCAGGGCGCAGGGTGGCCGATGTGAAATTCGACGCCACAGACCCGGGGGTATGGATTCCATCTAATCGTCGACCGCCGGCTCTAGGAGTCGCCGAAGTCAAGGAAGACATCACCCCCGATGATGGCTGTGGGAGTTCAGGTGCACTAAGAGAAATCATGTCGTCTAGAGAATCATCCGAGGAGTCACTCATAGATCCTGCTGACCCCTCCGTATCTGACTCCTCAGCAGCTGATGTTACCTCCATTTCTGTCCCACTTTCACCAGGTTTATCCTCGGCTGCAGAGTAGAATTGTTCATTTGAAGTGTCGTCAGCTTCGTCCTCGGCCACTTGCTTCAGAAGCGCAGACCTGGAAGGCACAGTTTGTGGAGCGCGGAGTCCTTGAGGGCGAGCCTGGACAAGCACAATCTTTGTGGTCGGCATCAACAAACCTTGCGAAACGGGCTCGCAGAATGAGATCCGCGCAGGCGGTGGTGGCGCATAAGTTATGGGATGAGAAGGGAGTGGCAGGGGTAGCACGTCTCCGATATGTACAATGCGCTGAGCCCCCAATGCTTCA